TTCACTACTGAATTCATAATATAGATCAGGATATTGTTCCAATGCTTTATTGCGGAAAATAGCACGGTCATGGGTCATATTATTCTGTTCTTCAGGTAAGGCCTTCTTGGGTTGAGGTGTGGGAGGTATACTTGTCTGAGTTTTCAGATCAGAAGAATCCAAGACTTGAGATGTAGATGATGTACTCATCTTGGTCATGCCAATTTCACTGATTTCTTTTTCATGGGGCGAGTTTCGGCACTTAACATAGTAAGAACCATTTCTGCATTGACCAACTATACCAAATACATACCCTTTACTATGTTCTTTCTCACATCCTGACATACTCCTGAGTCATTGAATTCGTAACAATCGTTAAATTCGTCACTATGTCGCAAAGATAGGTAAGGGTACTCCTTCAATACTGTATTGATATAGGAAGCGCAGGAATCATACGGGATGACTAGTGTGGTCTTCTTGGGTTGAGTGATTGGTGGCAAACTTATCTTGGCTTCTGATAGTTTCTCAGAGCCGAAAGAGTCGGAGGTCTCAGATTTGATAAGTATATTTACTTGAGGTGTGAGTGATATATTTATTTTGGTTACTTCTGAATTTTTCCGATCGTTTCCAGTGGAAACGGTTTTTGTAACTACTTGATTTATAATATTCTGAATTTGAGCATTAGTAAGGCTGGAGATTTCTCTTGCACTATATGAGACTTGCTTAATTAGATTAACCCCAACCCCTTTTTCACCAAATAGCTTAAGAATTTTTTTCGCTCTACACGTTTTAATCCGCAAGGAAACAGGTGAAACGCCAGGTAGATGCCGTAGCATTTCTTTGTATATCCAGGATCTCACAGTTTTTTCTTTAGCCTTACTTTCATCCATAATAGCAAGAACTTTGCTCTCGATTTCAAGAGAATAATTATACCAACGTAAAATTTCTTTCTGACCTATCTTGGTTGCTTTTTCAAACAAGTGAGCCAAGTTTGGTGCAAACTCTGGAATGAGGGTCTTTGAAATTTGGGTAGCACAAGACTCGTTAATTTCGGCACTGTCATACCGGCTTGTGCCGATATCCTTCCCATCATTAAATACTCTAGAATTGCCACAGCATCGTAATTCTTGTATCAAACCTTGTTCCACAGCTTTGTTCTTGTCAAGCTCAATAAGGTCATCAAAAGAATCAGAATTATACCTGTCATCAGGACCAATTTGTATCAGCTCAGAAGATTTTGACAAAACCTTTCTCTGATCGTTTCCACTGGAAACGGTTTTTGCCTCACGTGATGAATAAGTCGATACTAAAGGAACGGGTGGTATTGGCGGAATTGACATTGCCAAAGGGGTATTATGTGTCTCTTGATCTCGAAGCCTTTTCTCTCTGTTCCTTTCTCTTATCTCATTACTAACCTTTTCCTTATACTTCGAGCCCAGGAATTCATCGACCTCCTTATCTTCTGATGATATGGGCGAGGAGTTGGGTGGACGAGTATTGGAAGAAATATCGTTTTGTGACTGTTTCTGTTCCAATTTCGCGACCCTAGCCTTAAGCTCGGCATTTTCTTCTGCAGTCTGTTCCAATTTCGCGACTCTGGCCTTAAGTTCGGCATTTTCTTTGGTGATCTGTTCTAACCCCACGATTCTGGCCTCGATTTCTTCTTTATCTTGTTTTAACTTTGTCTTCTCAGCCTTGATGTCAGCATTCTCCTTTCTAAGCTCAGCAATCGTGGCAATGAGTTGAGAATTTAATTCTTGCAACGAATCGATTTTTGATGAATCTTTAGATTCGCCCCTTTGGGCCTGAGTGTCTGACATTGTTTATACAATATACGGATATGTTCAAAAGTTCGAGTTAGTAAAAATCGCGGAAAAATCTCGTTATCAGGAAAGACTTTGGAGCCCGGTCCAGAAGAATTTTAATTTTTCCGTGTAAAGAATTCTTCACACCGATCACTTTTAGCAAGAAAAAAAAATTCGCATTGAAAGTGAAGGGTTATCCAAAAATACTTTGAATGGATCGATCTCTCACATCAATTGATGTATATGCATACGAAAATCTTTATTTTGCCAGCTACGTAACCCTATTCTATAAGAGAAAAATTTAATCAACCGTAATCCTTATAATATGACAGGGTGAAACCCGCGACAGAAAGTAATCAAATCACAAGATCACAAAAATTAAAAAAGGTCGATCTTTTACTATGACAACCAGCTTTTGGCCTCTAAGTAAAGATGTTCAACGTGAAATTTCACATATACTGATGGTTACTAGACGGTCTTATCAAGTAAATTTAGTCTGTAAATTAAACCAATTTTTTAAGTACAACTGCACTCTAGTTAACATTGTCTGTATTATTGTTTTCGTTACTCTACCCGAGGCTTTTGGCCTCTTGTCTGGTTTCGATGTTGTTTACGTAATGCGCTCTCTATCTCTCCACTAGGCAAATATCATATTCGATTAATCAAGAGTTCGTTATATTGGGTATAAATACAATAAAGTAAAACTATACATACGTTTGGAACCTAATCTTGTCGTTCACATCCTCGAATGCCTTGGGAATTATAGGATTAACAAATGATTTTCTGTAAGCTATCTCCAATGTATTTGCATCGCGAAGCATGTTAAAAGATGAGGCGAACAAGAACATGCTAAAATAAAATACAGAAGTTCATTGACCATGTTGCATTATAAGATGTACGGTATACCTACAATCGCTGATAAATATCTTGTACCCATAATACGTCATAATGTTTTTTGAAATCAAACTCGCCCTCGAATGGTATTTCGAAAATAATTTTTGTTGATGGTGGTTGATCATCATCATCATCATCAAAAACCGATTTTGGCTTCACCTCAACGGAAAGCGCATACTTGTCAATTAGAGGCTTGATACTCTTTTCCCACCCGGGTCGACGCAATGTATTCTGCCTCTCTTCGGCCGATGGCTCCATCTAAAAGAACGTGCAAGATTATTACTGATTACGATCCAAAGCTGATGGCTAATGTAATACATACCTCTTCCCAGAAATTTCTCATTCTTTTTTTATCATCATCCGAAAAGAGTTTATTTATTGGATCTACGAGACTTTTTTCGGAGAGGTTGACAATACGATATTCAAAAAGACGATGGTCTACATCTTCCATCTTTGCGATGAGTTCTTGAACCTCGGTTGATGCATTCTCGTTCTCATCTTGATCATGTAAATCATCGTCATTCTCGCTATTAAGCTGAACTTGTGCCTGATGGGGAGGGGGAGTACGATCTCGAAGATTGGGAGGAGGGATGAGGGGAAAGGCTTCATCGGCTGACCGTTTCTTTCCATCCGCATTTTTTCCATTCGTATTCTTTTGGGAATGATGTAGAGAATATGGCAATTGTTTAATAAGTACTTATAGAACAAAAAATAAGAGATAAACATCCACAGGACGGAGGCTAAAAACATCCGCCCAGATATAATTTACTTCAAAAATTTCATAATCTGATGTATTCGAATCACTTTGTTGTAATTCTAATTCTTCTCGGCTTCCTTTTTTTGATGTAATTTCTTTAGGAAATCCAGCAATGAAAGTTCCGCCACTGGTAGTTCCGGTGGTTATATTTCCGATCGTGTTCCCGCTGATATCCATAACTGTTGATTTGTGGATGTAGACTTGCCAATTTTTCGCTTTTTTGCAATCAGGTCGAGGTTCCTTGTATGGAAGATTAGAAATCAGTAGTATTCTTCGATTAGTACGCCTCCGGTTCCCGATCCCACCAGAACATCAGAAAACCTAATAGGTCTCTGTGTCCCAATGGGTCTAGTGCCAGATCTTTTGTACATCAAACAACCTAGTAGGTCATCTGTGCCCCGACACTAGTTTTGTGGCTCAGCTAATAGCCTTGAATGACGGACGACCTAGTAAGTCTCTGTCCGTCACGCCACCTATCTCTCAACAAAAAAGATTTTAACTTGCCTCTCTGTATCTATCAAGAAGCAATTGCGCCCTTTCAGATCTGTCTTTTTCTCCATATTTAACGATGGTCTGGAGGTCTTTAAGGTAGTTATCTATATTGCGTTCAAATGACTCCCCGGTACATTCTTTTAAAAAACTTATAATACCCCATTTTGCGGGGTTACGTTTGAAGTATTTATGGGTCATGATGAGAAGTACGACACGGGTTGAAGAAATTTACGCAAGATGTTCTAAGCCACAACCACTTGATAATTAACGATCACATGATATTTTTCGATTTTAATTTCATTTGCTATACGTTATTATCACTTGATTTTATCACATCACGTTTATTATTATGTGATCCAGTGCTGTCACCGGCGGCAACAAGTAGATTCGCTCTAAAAAAAATCAGATGCAAGCCACGATTGATATATCATTTTCCTACTTTAGCTCTTTTATTTCCAACTTCTGATTCCTCCGGTTTTTGTACCTCTTCCAATAACCAAGCAAAATGATCAAGGACTCTTTTCACCATAGCTTCCATTTCCTCGTTTTCATATACAATGATCAGCGGTTTCGATAGTTTAAATCTCGGCCTTTCTTGATCATCAAGCGAACACTCTAAAAATACCATTCTTTCACATCTGTGACAATTCTGAACACCTTACCCACAAACACACCCTCTTCATCTATTTCGCTAGCCTTACGCTTGCGATTTGTCAAAGCTGATTCAAGTTGGACAGCATTTTGAGTGATACCCTTGAAACAATCTTCGTTCTTGACTTCTGTCATGCCAGCAGTTCTTGTGGTTTGGAGTAAGTCTAGCGCAAAATCGACTGGACCACGCCTATTTGGCCCTGAGATGTTTTTTTCTGGTCAGAGCTCAAACTTGCCTTCGAATAAATTTGCCTGGCAATTAGATAGGAACATACATATTGCGATTTCGATGCTTTATTTCCACTAATTAGAATGGTCTTGAGGCATGCCTTCACTTCAAGCCTTTACCAAAAGTGCGTACTGTTACGGTGAAATATGGCGAGTCTGTCACTTCTGTTCTGTCTACGCCGTACTACGTTTGAGAATGGTTTCTCTTTAAAAGAGACATGTATATTTGGCTTAAGTTTAACAATGACGCTGGATCGTGCGTTGTAACTGCCAACCTCCTGCGTGGTCACTCCTTTGTTTAGTGACACTCTCAAGATAGATAGTCTTTTTAGTGCGCAGT